GAAAATAGTGTAAATTGTATGTTTGTACTTGAAATAGTATAAATTTATGTTTTCCATATTTGTAAACTATCTTTACTCGAAAAATAAAATGCATTTCTCATGTGAGAATATCATTGTATGAATGTAATGGAAAAATGAAGATTTACAGTAGTATTGTATAAAATAAACTACTGATGTATTAACTACCTTGAAAATCAACTGGTTAATTAAGGTTAAAATGTGATTAGGTCATAACCATGATTGATATACTAGTATAAAACAAAACGTTCTTAAGGTGTCGAAAATGATATGAGATTTGTCACTCGTAGACCTGGAGGTCCCACTATAGCTAGTAGCAAGGTATGGGATGGTGAATCTCGTATAGATCTATACACAAACTCACGCTCTCCCTCCAGGAGACTTTAGTTACAAAACTTGACATAGCAAGAAAATTGCTACGCCATGAAACAGTATCTCGCATTTTAGTTATCTTGTTCTTGTTATACTATGTAAGCTCCTTATTGTTCTTGTACATAAATAGTATACTTTGTAATGAATAGTGATAGTATATATGTATTGATGCATGTATTGTTTCTCTATTCGAGAAATAGTATGTATGATCCTCTAAAGTATACCTATTATAGTTTACTAGCATGTTTATTTGAATAGTAACTGATTTAGAGAAAAGACTCATTTTCCCAATGTATGCAACCGAGTTAAGTATGTACTTCGAAAATGGAGTTTAATATTCATGTATATATTTAGTAAGTATAACTATGATTTAGCCAACAGTCGGACTAGTGATCCTACACTAAGCCCACAACCAAACAAGGAACAGGAGTCAAGGTATTTTGCAATAGTCTTAAGTCCGTTAAAGCATACTTACACATAAGTATATAAACGATTACAATTTTGATAATAAACAACAATCTAAAATAGTTTAAAAGAGTTTTTGAAATGATTTTAACAACAATTATAAGCATAAGAAATCCTTTGTTTGTTTGTTTTCACATGTAAATATTAACACAATTCTATTGTGCTCTACTTGTATTCCCCCCCCCCCCCCCTTGAAAACATTGAAAAAGGTAAACTGTAGGGGTATGAACTCACCTTAAGTGAGTGATTCAATTGAATTTTTTATATAGTATGAGAAGTCCACGAGTTAGATCCCAAGACAAAATAAATCCTAAAATGCAATTCACACGATATAATGGCATTAAATTAGTGAATATAACTTGTAAGGTGTTAAGGAAACAACGTAGGATGTAAGTAACACTTACAAAAGAAGTGTTAGAAGAGAAATCGAGTGACTACTTAGATTTCATGGTTGGCTTTGGTGTTTACGGTTGTAAACAGTTCACGGCCACTTGAAGATTCAAGTGTTTTTGGTTGTAAACTCAAGTGTGTGATCTTGGTGTTCTTGGTTAAATGAAGGAGATTCAACGGTTTATGACTATAAACCCAGAAATGAAGGGTGTTTGACCGAGAAAAAAGAACTCTAGATGTTCTTATTAAGGTATTTAGGTGAATCAAATGATCCTCGGATGATAGTTGAGAGAAAACTAGGGGTTTTCGGTTGAAGATCTTGAGAGAGAAATCTTGAGTTTTCGGCTAGAAGTGTAGAAGTGATGATTATTTCAGTCGAACATATATATATATATATATATATATATATATATATATATATATATATATACATATATATATATAGTGTAGAGTTTGCGGTCCGAGGGTTTGCGGCTACGAGGGTTCACAGCTCGAATGAAGGTCCTCGGTTCCAAATGTTTCCCTCATTAAACACACAACTCCTTTGAATACAAGGACTATACACCTTATGACTTATTCATCTAACTATAAGATAATTAAAGAAATAAGTTTGACTTTAGTAGACCAAGTTTAGCTTTTACAAGATTGAAATTACGGATTGTCACATTAATCTTTTACAATATAGTGAATTTATACAAAATAATGATTTAACATGAAAAAAATTATAAAAACATTCAACGTTTATTTATTCTATTACAATATAGTAAAAACATATCATTAAAAGCCTAATATTCAATTTTAAGAGAAAACATTTCCTATTTTTTTTCCTTTAAAGGACAGGTTCTAGCATCATGATACCGCTTATGACATAAAGTGCATTCCCTTAATCGCTTCTTCGATACCTTAGTTGACTTTTATTTAATGCTGATCAATCTTTTCCCTACCATTGTTTGTAATACCTTCTGGATTTTTAACATTAATAGTATTAGGTACTGAAGCTCCACGTAAAGATGTCATACGTGCATATTTACTACATGATGACATTGATGAACCACGTTTATTAACTTCACTCAAATATTCTTGAAGATTACTCAGAAAATTACTCAACCCAACTTCCTCTTTTGCTAATTTGTTAACAATTGAACCAAAAGTAATAAAAGCATCTTGAATCATTTTACTTTCTTTTCCATAATTTGAATATGTCTGTCTCAAGAGTTCAAGAGGAATTATATCTTTTCGCCAACGCTTCAATATGTACTTTGATGGTATTATATCAATCTCATTGATACTATAAACATAAAAACTATAGCGACATAAGAATCCTTTTTGGATGTAAAACATGGAACTACATGTGATAGAATCTTCTTTTTGATTAAACATAACCTACAAAATAACAATTAATAACACTTTAGACTTGAATAAAATTAAATTTTAATTGCTATAATTAAAATTCATAAATGCACATGTCAATTCTAGACATAAAACTACTTTCAAAAGTTTAAAAGTAGAAATAGAATTTCATTTGTAAAGTTAAGATATGAACATACCTTGAAATCAGTAGAAAGAGAAAGATCAGATGGAGACTCGGGATAATAAATAATAGTTTTCACCATCATCAACTCTTTTATGTTTAACATCTTTCCACAGGGAATTCTTTTTATCTTTGATTAGACACACTTCAACTTCATTTTCCATAATAACAGACAAGTGGAAGAAAGACCAGATGGAATTAAAAATCTCCTTTTGAACAATAAAGAAATTAGAATGGGTATAAACATTAGTTGCGAATCTTTCAATAAGAAGAAATGTTCTATATATAGGATTCATAGTTAAAGAATGATGATCAAGTAAACATTGATTATACCTTTACTTTGCCATAGCATTCTCAAAATAAACAATAAAATCAAGAAAGCTTGCTTCTGGATGAAGAAATTTTGAGAAAACATAATTTTCACACTCCGATCTTGAAGTAGTTCGTATCAAACCAGAAAGTTGGAAATCTCTCAAATAAGATGGAATCTATGAACTCCTAATGTCAAATGTAACAGATAACCAACTGTTACATTGAAGATCAAAATTTTGAATCAATGAAGACCATAAAGCCTCAATTTCTTCTAGATGAATTTTAGAATCCCAAACCGTTTTGTGAAAAGCTTTCTTGAACTCTGGATGGTTAAAAACTTTAGACGGAACCTTAAAATAAAAAAATAAAAGAAATACTTAGCTTTATTAAATTCACAATGTGAATCTGAAATGTATAAAATTCAATTTTTAGAATAAACAAGTGAATTCATATAATGAAACAATTATATATTCTTATTGAAATAATTTAGAGAAAATCAAACTTTAAATAAAAAAACATACCTTATCAGAAAGTTTTTTGTTGATGTGTCACATACATAGTCTATGTCTAGACTGAGGAAGAACAATATTAATGGCATTCTACATTGCAGCATCATGATCAGTTTCAATCATACTTGGCTGACTACCAAAAGCTTTGAGAAATGTTTTAAGGAGCCATATATATTATTCAGTTGACTCATTAGCTATTAATCCAACGCCAAAAGTTACACATCGCCTATGGTTATCAATTCCGATGAATGGAACATATACCATACAATATGTGAACAATTAATTAAATGTAAACAATTACAATTGCAATGAAGTTTAATAAAAAATTCTAACCATTTATATGTAATGCAGGAAAACATTCACAATGTGAATGATAATGTGATATAAAATTTACAAAAATGTGATCATTCACGATGCGAATTATAATGATAATTAAAATGAACATTAAATTAACAAGATAAGAATGTGAATGATAATGTTAATTAAAATAACATTAAATTAACAAGATAATAATAAGAATATTACTTGTTGGTATGTAGGTGGAATCAAAAGATACAATATCTCAAAATTCTTTGTAGTTTCTTCTTGATGCCTCATCAGCCCAAAAGAGACTCGTAACATGACCTTTATCAACCTTGTGATCAAAAAAGAAGTTTGGAACATACTTTACTCTGTCTTCCATTATGTTAATAAGAATGTGTGAATCACTTTTACCAACTGAAACATTTAAATCCCTTTTAAAGTTCTTGAAATCAGTTACAGTACCACCACTAACATTATAACCACCCTTAATTGAACTTAACAATGTATAAGCTCTAGTGGCACCAATGTTATAAGCTCCAAGTTTGTGAATGAACGATTGTTCAACAACATGAACCTTCCAATAACAAATGAAGATTTTCTTTTGAAACCAATACATGGTTATGTTTTTCCATAAACTTATATACCTAAAATTGCAATGAACCAAAAGCAACACACTTGAAAGTTATAAGAGTTATAGATCCCATCTTCCTTGATGATGTTTTCCTTTTAAGTTTTGGTTGCTTTTCATTGTTAGAATCATTATTAACACATTCAGAAAAACCTGATCTGCTACATATCACATATCTAAGTGAAATTTCTCCTTTAGAACGTTTTATTGTTGACTTACTAGCATCAAATCCAACTTCTTTAGCATATTGCAAGTAAAATTCAACACCATCCTTCAAAGAATTATAAACATCTTTCTCTTTTGGCTTCATCTCATCTGGAACCTCATGAATAAACATTTTATCATCATTATTAGAAGAATCACATTCATTTCTGAACTGTTCTGATTCACAACTTGATGCATTACTTTTGCCTATATTAAATTAATTAAATTATTAAAAATAATCACATGGTGAATCTTAACCGAATAGATGAATAATAAAAGGAAGTATTGATAAAATTCACATATAATTTTCTAAACATAAAACAAGCTTAACAAAGGAAACTCACATAATATTAAACATAGAATAAAATAAATAAATAAAAAACACTTACTACATTCCGCAAGATGATCAGAAAAGATGATATTAACATCCGAAGGAGAAGCTTCAATAGGTAACGATGAATCATCACCTACAATTTGAAAAACATAACATTTAAACATTGATGTTATACATGTTTAAACATCGATGTTATGCAAAAACAACAATATAAATCGATAATTTTGATTTAAAAAAAAAAAACAGGATGATGTCAATGTCGAATTCAATGCAAAATCCGTAAAAGTTAATTGCAAATCCATACAACCTGAAATCGATGAATGCATTAAGAAAACAAACAACAATGCATGTTGATTTCAATATCGAATCAATAAAAGATGATTCAGAATCCACAAAGCTTGAAATCGATCACGATTTTAAACTTCAGTAAAAAAATACTTTTCTAGATCGAATAAGATAAACAAGCATAATAGAAGATTATTAATATCGATTTCAATGAAAGATGATTTCGAATTCAAAAAACTAAAAATCGATCAATACATCAATCAAAAGAAAAAAAATTGTTAAATTGATTGAATATAGGTTAAAGACATAAAACATTACCTTATGCAAAGTCGATTACTACAATTTCAATGAAAAACTTCTACAATGAAAATATTTTGATTGTCAATAAAGATAATATAACACTGAGAAGATATATGCTTTACATAATTAGAGATAACGACTATTAGTTAGATTACTATGCAATACCAAAAATACCATTGGGTGAATAATTAATAGAGTTGGATGTGATTAAATATGGATAAAGGCTTAAAAAGTGGTTCCTTGGTTCCATGTCTTAAAATGGGTCAAGACCTTTTGCATATATATATATATATATATATATATATATATATATATATATATATATATATATATATATATATATATATAGGTTCAGTAGAGATCCATAATTAACAATGAACTAACCGTGAGCTTTAGAAATCATAATGATCAACGGCCAAAGGAATAGATGTACACTTGTGCATTTAATGCACACACTGGATCATACCAAAAAAATCACCTCCTTACCAAAAAACTCACATCTTTTTTCATTTAAATTTATTTAGGCCACATTTTTAGAGAAAAAAACTGAATATACTGTTGTTCTCGATTTTTCTTCCTCTTTCCATAGAGATCCATGTTAATATATAAAAAACGAACTTTTTTTTTGAAAAAAAACCCACTTAATTTTGTTAGTTTTTTCAATATTTAAGTTTATTTTTAACCAAAAAAAAAAAAAAAAAAAAAAAAAAAAAAAAAAACTATTAAGTTTTTGTACTCTATTAATAAACATCAACACGAACTAAAAAAAACCTTGATCAGTGTAGATTCACACTGTGAATCTAAATTGTAAATATTTCAATTTTTAACATTCACAATGTGAAAAATCTCGATCAGTTCAGATTCACATTATGAATCTAACTTACTATTATGCACACTGTGAATCTGAGAAGGTTCACAATGTGAACATAAACTAAAATATTGTTTTTTTAACATTAATATGAATCTATGTTTAAAAAGTACCAAAAAGTATGAATTTTAATATATTTATTAATTTTTTTTCGGTAAAAAAAATAGACCTGAACTTTTCAACAACAAAAATGAAGTGAGTTTTTTTTCGAATAAAAATTTTGTTTTTTATATCATCATGAATCTCTATGGAAAGAGGAAGAAAAATCAAGAACAAATGTATATTCGGTTTTTTTCGATAAAAAACATGACCTAAAAAAAATTTAAACGAAAAAAAGGAAGTGGGTTTTGTTATAATCTGGTGCATGTGCGTCCATTGTAAAAGTCTATAACCCTTCATTTTGTCGTTGGTCGCTTTAAATTTCGACGCTTAGGATTGGTTTCTTGGTTCCTTCATTAATAATGGTTCTCTATTAAATTATATATATATATATATATATATATATATATATATATATATATATATATATATATATATATATATATATATATATATATATATATCTTTACTATTATATAAAGCAGTTTAGACATTTTTTGAAATTTAATATGTACCAAACCTACTACATCATGTACAATTAACTTATGCTTACTAGTCAATACACATATTATAATTGTATATTTAGTAGGTTAAAAATTTTAAATACGAGTGAGATACGTTCCAGTGCTTTTCTTCACACCATAGGATTTTCCGGAAAGGTAATGATAAATAAGTTGAAAAATATGTTATTAAAAAATAAAAGTAAAATGTTATAATAAACAAATAAATAGATAAACATTTGCGTTAAATTTATAAATTAAAATGGTTTCAGAACTACAAAAACAACTTAAAATAGATTGAAAAAAAAACGAATTGAATTTACAACCCAACAAACCGGTCAAAGTTGTGAAACAAGTTAAGATGTTACGGTAATTAGAAGTTAACATTATAAATGAGTAATTAATTGTAATTTACAAAGAAGAGACACTAAATGGATTTTACAATGTTTGAGGATTATAAAAACGAAAAAATTATCAATTATGTAACTTGGTTATACTTAAAGGTTTTTATGGTTTGATCCGATAGCTGCAACGAAACTATTCACCCAAGTAAATTAATCACCGTCCGGATACTATTTGTTGCATTCGCTTTGCGCGGGTACACGTTTAGTGTATATATATATATATATATATATATATATATATATATATATATATATATATATATATATATATATATATATATATATACTAGGTGAATAGCCGCACGTTGTGTAACGTAAAATTAAGTACTTAAAATTTTGACAAATAAATATTAAAATTAAATTATTTTATTGATATTTATATCATAACACCATTCATAAACACCCAACAAATAGTACGAAACCTATGTTTGTTTTTAACCACACACTTCTACTGCTTTGCTTCAATCCAGATTATGCAACTGCAAATGCACAAAGTTACATTTATATCCATTAATATCAACTAAGTAAATAATGTGATGTACTTATTATTTGCTAAATGCATATCGATGCATCATATTAATTTTAATATTTCAACTTCAGCAAACTAAAACCACATAGGCATGGTCTGGATACGAACATTTGAATTCCGTTAGTGACTAATACAAACACACCCCTGCCACAAAAATGCTTGGTTGAGAATAAATGTATATATACAAAAAAAAATGAACGCTAAAAGGATTACCTTCTTAAGACTTGAAAATGAGCATGACAACTTATTGGTATCAGGTGTACCAATACAACATTAAAATATGCATGACTCGCTTTTAGTTCACATGTGATATTTTATAGGATCAAATAGGAATCATTACTTTAATGGAAACTAAGACTAATTGACATGTAAAACAATTTATATGTAGCAATACATCTACTAAAATTACTTCAAATTTTCCAATATCTCTTTAGGGTTCAATAAATCAACATTGTGATTCCAACGATGAATATTTCACTGCTTTCCATCTTTTTTAATATTCTTAAATATTAAAATGGTGTTTAAGAATAAAAATATTAAGAAAAATAAAAATTCTTACACGCATGGATACATATGGAAGTGTCAAATAGTGAAGGTAGAGATAGTTTCCATTGTTGAAGGAATGATTATGAAAACCGAATCTATTCAAATAATTTAAAATGAGTAGCAAGATTTGTTTGTGTATGCATGAGTCAAATATTAATTTAGTACGTATAGTGAATGGAATTAGATGCATCTTTATACAAAAGTTTCTATCCCCAATATAACATGTGACATACCGGAAGCAACCATACATTGAACAGTTGGTAAAAAAAAAGTTGTTGAAATTTATATGAAAAGCAATACACACATAAAACTTTTTTTTCCTTCTTTAAAGGTCCTTAATCCTTGTAAAATATGACAAAGATGTTCCTATTATTCACCATATTTATACTTGGTCTTGTTATGTTTAATACTGTTCATGTTATTTTTACATTAAAGAACCAATTAATAATCATTGTTAAAAAGTCTTTTTAGTGATATTAGTTAAATTAGGGGGTTTCAAATGCATATGAATCAAGGAAAAATGCTTCCTTTATAAGATATAACTAGGCGAATGTCCGCGCGTTGCGCAGAAACACCTATATAGTTGAAGTCTTTACAAATATATGATTTTTTAAATATAACAATAACGTTGTTGTTAAATTTGTATATAATAAATTGATATAATATAATGTTTATTTTGAATTATATGATAATATATACATTTATTATAACTTCATAATCTCAATCGTTTGAATGACTTCTAGCCGCGAGTTATACATGAATAAAATTAAATATAATATATGATTTGATATTATTTATAGTTGTTTTTATTGTTAATTAATTTTTTAAAATTTATTTGCTTAATGTTTTAATTTCTAGCATTATAATTATTTAAAACATCAAACATTGTTTTTTATTTTAAAACTAACAATATAATCATTTATATAGAGTTGTTTTTAACTATCGTTATTGTAAGTTATTTTAAGCTACTTATTTGAAAACTTTTAACGATTATACAAATATATTTAAGAAATATTTTAGTTAAATTGAGATTACAATTTATGTCACACCCCAAAACCACGAACGGCGGAAACGTTCAGGGGTGGAGGACGTCATGTACAGTATCACAACAGTGTAATATAATAAACAAGCAACAACATCATCCATTGCATTATAAGTAAAGTTTTATACATGTGTGTTCTTTCATTGTAATAAGACACCAAAAATGTACAATCAAAATAAAAGACGAGACTTGTCTGCTGCGTCTTCTCACAACCTGTCCTCCGTACCTGTCTACTGGCGACCTGAGAATACAAGTTATTTTGAAAGAGAGTATCAGCTTTAAAGCTGGTGAGTTTATAAGTATATAAGTGTCATTGCTTTGTTTGTGAAAACCTGCTATGAATGCCATGAAAAACCTTTACGTGAAAATGTTGAGGTAAGTATGAAATCCCTAGAAAAACCCTTATTTTCTATAAGTATGAAGTGTAGTCTTCTACCAAGACCCAAATGTTTTATATAAATGAAGTGTAGTCTTCTACCAAGACTCGAATGTTTTGTATGTGTGAAATGCAGTCTTCTACCAAGACTCGAATGTTTTGTATGTATGAAGTGCAGTCTTCTACCAAGACTCGAATGTTTTGTATGTATGAAG